GTTAAATATTGAAGGTAAAAAGGCTTTTTTAAAGGAAATTAAATTCTCTATAAAAAAAAATTCTTAACAATTTTCCCGTATTTTGTATCCTTGAGGCAGAATTTTGATAAGAAGTCATAACACTAAAAATTTTTTTAATACAAGGACGAATTTTTTTAAAAGGATTTTTTACCATTCAATAAAGTTATTTTTCTGGTAGCTCGTAACAAGGAAATTATCCGAATCTTTCCAAGTTAGGATCTGTCAAAACTATAATATTCCGAAAACTGAAAAAGAAACTTTAAAAATTAAAGAAAAAAGTTGTAACCGAAAAATATTTGTATCGCGATTAGTTACGCGCCTGTAGCGACGCGTTTGGATTATCCACGCTCGGTGATTCGAAAGAAGAAAAAAAAAAAACAGATTGTCATTCCTCTATAAACATAAATCTCCATACTCTATTGACAAAATGTTTACAGGGAAAAAACGTCACATGTTGTTGGAAAAGATATTCAAATGAAATAAAGCAACTCATTGAGAATACTTTTTTAAAATAGTTAAATAATCGATAAATGAAATGAAAATAGATAAATTTTATTGCGGATTTAATATATGCGTAAAGTATAAACCACTAGAAAGCAAGACGAGGTTATACTCGTATAATAACAATCGCGTTATGATCCTCGTAAGGTTTTATTTAACTGGCGGTCGTATAACAGTTCAACTTTATTGTTCCCGTCATCCATTTATACCCTCGCCAAAAAGTTTATACTCAAACGTAACTTTAAACTATGAACTTCTTTCATTCCATTTTCGTTATCCTGCGCGGCAATAATAATTTAAAGGATTCCGGTTGGTTAAAAAAAAAAAAAAAAATTAATTACCGACATTTCTGATGTTTAGGGTAATTTTATATCAGGATTATAATCGAAGATAGAAAATAGTTTGATCGATTGTCAAAATAGAGATCATCAATCTATTGTAAGCTACACAATGATGAGCAATCAATCCCTTGAGATCTCTGTAAATACTAGGTATACATAAATATTTTGAGTGATTAATTTGTCAGATGACAAAATAGAAATGTTTATGTTTGTACAGTTAATAGCAATCTATCATCTCAATGGCTCATTTATTAAATTGTTATGTCAATAAACCATCTTTTTTATTTACTTTTATTGGATATTTATACATGCATGTTCGGTGTAATAATTGAGAAAGATATTCATGTTAAATTTTAATCTACGATTTTTAATTTTTTGATATTGCCAAATATCATTTTAATTTAATTTTATTGGCATTAAAAAATTTTTTTCTTTTAATGAAAAATTGTTGAAGGAAAAATTTATTGAAATAATTAAATAAAGAATTTTTTTTTTTTTGTAAAAATTAAAAAATAATTTTTATAAAATATTAATTTAGAAAATAAAAAGCAAAAATTTTGTTATTAAAATTGATCAAAATTTTCTTTTAATAAAAATGTAAAAAAAAAATTTTCATATTAAAAATTTCTTGAAAAAAAAATTAATATTAAAAATTGAACCTGAATATAAAATTATTTTATAAAGTGTATAATTAAGATTGTAAAAAATTTCCTTTGGATAAAAAAAATCTTAGAAAATTAAATTAAGAATTCTTTAATATTGATTAATAATAAAAAAGTTTCCTAAAAAGTTATTAAATAAAAATACTTAAGAAAAACGAGTGAAAAATCCTGAGAAATAATAAACAAAGTGAAGGTCAGAAAGTCATTGAGAATAAAGAAAATAAGTAGATGGTGATTGTCGATAGCTACTTAAGTTAACCCTCGAGGTCTTGAGACTCTTTAGCAGAAAAGTACCCGGTGCATCCTCGAGCGTCATCGGAATGGAGTGTTTGGCGTGGTATGGCGTGGAAGATGCATCGAAAGCCCAGATGAGCCCACACACCAAGAAAGACTAATAGCCAGAGAGATAAGGTTAAACTCTCGCCTGGATTTAGCACGAAATCGGCAGGACTTTTGTAGCCAGGCAGCCGGCTTAATCCGGTATTTAATTTCTAAATGGTATCTGAATTTTCGAACTGATTTATCGATTTCGCCTCTCGCCCGCGAGTCCAACAAAGCTACCAGATAAAAACACTTAACCCTCTCGGAAAACATGTCCACCGGGCTTCCATGTCCAGCTTACAAGCACCCAGCTTCTATTCTCCATTCACCAGGAGATATCGAGGAAGATTAATAACACTCTTCTCTACTCTCTCTGCTCCCAACAAACTTCAGGAATAAACATTATCCGAGCCAGATGAGACCCAGAGCCAAAGCCAGAGGTTATCTTTCATCTTTTTTATTTGTTTTAAAACTCACTCTCTCACTCTTACTCTTACTCTTACTCCATTATACTACTTGTTCATCATTTTCATCTCTCTATTTTTATTTTATTTTTCCACGCTCTTGTCTTACCTTCCGTCCATTATTATCATTATTACTGTTACATTATTTATCCCGGCTCATCTCTATAGCGAGATTAGATAATTCTTCAAGTCAAATATTAACTCCCGGTAGTCACACAGTGACTGCAAGTTGCTAAGCTGATAAAAACTTTTAATTTCAGTGAAAAAATTTTCTTATATGACCATATTAAATAAACCACACACAAAAAAAAAAAAAAAAAAAAAATTAATTTTTACAACTTTTAATTACAGAAAAAAAATTATAACTCTTAGATAAAAATAAAAAAAAAGCGCATTTAAGAATTTTATTTTTTGATCGACCGAAAATTTTATTGTTTTGATTCAAGTTACATAAATATTTTACCCAAGGATTTTTTCTCTTGGTCTGAGGCCGGTAAAATTGATTTAAAATAATACCAAACTTTTTCAATCAGGTTATTTTACTTGCTTTAAAAATATATCCTATAATTTTAAATGATTAATCTGTCAATTTTGTTTCTGTTTAAACCTATGGAAATATGTTGATTGGTGTATACATTTATAAAAAAATTAATTTACTTCAAAATAAAAAATCTTAGACCAAGAAAATTTTGAAGAGTTCGATTATCTTCTTGAATCAAGTAGAAAAATTATTAATTCAAATAAAATTTACTTGAACTAATATCAATCTCTTAGTTCAAGAATTTTTCTGCTTGATTCAGAATTATCAAACTCGTGAAAATAATTTTCATCTAAGATTTTTTCTCTTGAATTAAGTTAATTTTTTTCGGTCGAGGACAAATCCACCTCTCGACAAAACATTTAAGAAATCTCAAAAGCAATTAGTCCCAAATGAATTAACTGGTACAATCTAGGACCAACAGTTTTCCTTCCAGTGGCATGCTGGTGAAGTGAAAACAAAATAAAGGAAGCTCGGATACGACTCACTGTTAGAAAACATTTACCAGTAACTAAAACTAAAAAAGGAAGAAAATTTCTAGTGAATTAGTTACACCGTTTTTGATTATTTACGGGTGAATACTTTTGAATTCTTCCATTTGCTCCTTTTTCACCTACATTATATTATGCTAGTCTTTTTCTCTTATCGTTCTCACTTTTATAACGCCATATAGAGATCGGAATTCGGTATCAGTTTGTTTATAAAAAGTAACGCCCTACCTAGTAAAATTGCCACGCCATCAAAGATTGAATTTGAGAAAACATAAAAGTATTGTGCAGAATAGCTGATTAGTCCCGGTACGAGTCTGTGTGTATTTTATTTTCCAGCTTCCTCAGGGAATAAATTTCTCGACGGGGGCTCACCCTTACCGACACATTTTAACAAGACGCAGACCTAGTTGTTACACCGGACAGCAAACAAAATTAAAAACTCCACAGCACCAGAATTAGCTACCGATACGGTGAAGAATCTTGTCGAAAATCTAAAAAATGACTTTTCAGCAAACACTTGTACAAGATTTACGATTTTTCTTCGAAAATCGATTCTTTCTTCAAAATTATCGGCTATTAAGAGTTGACTTTTGTTTGAAAAAAATTTTCAACAGAAATTAATTAAAAAATTCTTTTTTTTTTTATTTTTCAAAAGTTCCTTAGAAATAAATTATTAGATTCGATTAATTTTTATGACTAAAAAATCATTTCTATGACTTTTATTAAGGTCAAATAAATTTTTAAAGAAAAATTCCTGCCCTTAAAAATCTGAGCCCTTAATTTTAATTCCAACTATTATGCTCAATATCTTTCAAATAATGCACTTTAATACATTAATGCATACAAAAAGCATCTTCTAGCGAAGAAAAGCTATAAGCAGGGAAGTATATGACTATTTTGTAAAAATTGGGTACGAAAATTTGTGTTTTCTCTTCGATGCATCCAAACGAGAGATAATAACTTTAAAATAAACTATGTATTTGCCTATGGTAAAATTTTTCAATAAATTAAAAAAAAAAAACGGTACTTTTTTTGTAGAAAATTAAATTTTCTACAAGTTTATTTCACATTTTCTTTCTGTAAGTAGTAATTTATAAAATAACATCAGAAAACAATAATTTTACATAAATTTGAGTTTACTGACCCGTACAGCATTAAAGGTACAGATTACAACTTTGTTGCAAAGGACATTTTTATAGAAAATTTAATCCTGAGTAATTCGCACTTCAGCACAATATGATAGCATAAAATTTTACTGAGTTATAGATATTTAAAAAACAAGGCAAATTTTTTTTTAAGAATCTCTTGAGAGTGTAAAATTATAAATCCTCCGTGATAAATCCTTATATTAAATGATATCATTAAAAAAGTGAACCTTGAAAAGTAATTATTTATAATCTACTTAAGCTAGTCAGTCACACGTGTAATGTTTGTGAACATCTGTGTCCATAAAACAAAAAACTATAAATATTAGTCGAAAAAGACAAAGGTGTTAAAAATAAATTGCTGATAACAATTAATTAAAAATGTTTTTTATTTTATTACCAAATTAATTGTCATATAGTTACAATAATTTATACATTATATTAATACTATACATAAAAAATCTATTATAAATTATAAATATTAGTCAGGCACTTATTGACAGATCAACAGTTGGATTATTTGAATCCAAGAAGAATTTTCACAAATCTTTGTAGCCTCTCTTCGTTTGTCGTCAACTCGTCGGAGGGAAATTCGGGAAAGTGGCAGAGCTCAAAATCAGTGCAATTGTGTTTTCTCTTCAACTCGGGCTTGTAAAACCTGGCAACCTTTCGAACTCCATGTGGATCATCCGTCCAGGTGTCACCCTTAAATCGGAAGCAGTACCGAGAGTCGATCAAAAAGTCCGTGAGGTCCTTCTGATCCTGGGCTTTGTAACCGTGCTCTTCGATATTTATTCCTTCCGTTATGTCGCAGCTCATCGTGTCTCGCTTGCGGATAGTGCGACACAAACCTTATCAAATAAAATTATTTTTAATTACAATTGTCATCACTGATTATTTGATAATGAGTATAGTTTATTTTTCTAAGCACTGATTGTAACTTAAAATTAGTTGTAATAAAAAATAATATTAAAGGTAAATAAATTATAAACTTACATTGTGAGTAATATGCGAAAGTGATGAAAAACACTAACAGTAATTTATTGTTCGACATATTAACAGCGAGTGGCTCTATAATTTTTTTTCACGGTTAATATATACCTTGATAACACACTGTTAAAGTTAGACGTTATCAGTAATGATCATAAGCCTTATCTCACCGACTTATATACCGTTCATGTTACTCGGCACTACGTCCAAATATTAATAATTTACGTCATAATATGTGTCAATATTCGTCACTTTAAATAATTCACACTCAATTTAATCCAATCATATATTAAGGTATAATTAGAATTGTAATTATCAATGAATTTAATCTTTTATTTCTTTCTTACTTTCTTTGTTCGCCGCTCCGCCTAAATCAAACTTAACATGATTTATATTTTCACTGTAAGTCACTCTGTTTACACTTTAATTGGTAAACAACCAAAATGACGCAAGTACTGTTCAATAACTGGCTATTTTGGTCGAACAAGTATAATAATAACTATTTAAACACGTGTGTGAAAGTCACCTCTATGAAAATAATATGTTAATTACTTTTTGTTGGTTTTTTTTTTTTTTTTTTTTTAACGGTTTGCTGTAATAGTCGTGCGTAGTTTTGAGTCTGATGTATTTTTTTTTCAGAGGAAAAATTATTGATTTTTGGTGTGGAAATTTGAGTTTTAAATTTTAGATAAAATTTTTTTATGAGAAACTTTAAAAGGGGCAAAATAATTTATTTTTGATGGAAAAATTTGAATTTATAATTTCAAGATAGTCTTTATGCGAAAAATTATACAAAAAAAATTTTTAGAGGTAAAATAATTGATTTTTGATGACTAAATTAGAAATTTTGATACGAAAAATTTTTTTAGACCTAAAATTATTGATATTTTGTGTGAAATTTTGAATAAAAAATTTTTAGTTAAATTTTGTCATAATAAACTGTAAAAAAATTTTTTTAAGGGCAAAATAATTGATTTTTGATGCGAAAATTTGAAATTTTAGATTAAAATTTGATACAAAAAATTGTAAAAAAAATTTTTTGGAGGTAAAATAATTGTTCTTTGGTGTATAAACTTAAACTTAAACCCTGGATAAAATTTTGAAGTTATAAAAAATTGTAAGAAAAATTTTCTGTTTAAATTAATTTTTTTAAAAATGAGAAACTAAAAATCATGAAATTTAGACAAAATTTTAATATTTAATAAAACCAAATTTTAGGGTAAGATATAATTCATTAGCTTCCTATCCGGCGATCGACTCGTTAGCATCACAGTGTTTCTACGGTAACGATAACTGCTCGTTAACGGTGATTAAACGGCAAGCTTAACTTGTTAAATAACCACACGATCAGACGAAACAATCACTGGCATGGTATGTATAAAATTGCATTGTCTATCTCCTTTTTTTAATTCTATTAAAAAAATTTGTATCCATTTATTTTTTAAAGTTTTTGTATTTTTAATTTTCTACACTTAAGCTCTCAGCTGATGCAACAAGTCTACTCTGAAAAATTGCTAAGCTGTTGTGTAAATCTGGTGGCACTGTTTTACAATAGCACAACAAAAATTTAGCTTAATTTTTAAAATAAAAAAAGGACAAAATTTATTTGAAGCAAAAACGTTTTTTTCTCTTAAACACACACTTTAATTTTCATTAGTACAAAAAGTTTAAAATAAAAATTTTACATTAAATAATGCAGATACACAAAATGATAAAATACTTTTTTTGTAGCAAATAAAATTTCCAATAAAAAAATCTTGATAAAGTTTTTTTGTTCTTTCTTTATTTTGAACAGTACTCGATCAAGACTGTGAAAGTTGAAAATATTTTAAGACAACTGAAAAGTAATAACTTGAGCAAACACTTTTCAAACAGGTTTGAACTTGATAATTGACATTGAAGTAATTAACACGTACCAAGCGCAGATAACAAAATACATATATGTCTAGAGTACTGTCTAAGAGGTCGTTGCTCCAAATCAGGAAAAGGAACTAATTGAAGCTCTTTTGAACAGAAGAATAATCGAGTTACAATATTTACTTAAAAACGGACAAGAAAAGTTTGAGCATAAGTATCAGAAATAGACGTGGAAAAAATTGAATTAATTACTGATATTGAGAAGGAGAATCAAAGGGATGGAACGTCACCGGTTGATCGGTTTTGAGCTCAGCTATCTATCCAATATCATTTATAATTTATAATATATATTTGAGAAAATAAGAATATAAGATATATAACACAACACTTGTTTGTCCAGCATTCCGTCGCGTTCGAGGCTGGAGCTCTGTCCAAGTATTAAATCAGGACGATAAATAACAAGGCCGCGACGGAATCCTTAGCCAGCCGTCTTTTTTATCATATCACCAAATCGTAGCTACTTGTGTTCAGATCTTGCTCGTCGTTTTTGTAGTCACCTGATTCTTGTTCTTAAACACTGCTCACTGCCGGTTTCACCACTTCGTCAATCGAAACGTCCACTGTCCTCTGCTACTCACCGTCCACCCAGTTGAGTCTTGGGACGACTTTGCACGCGATTATATTACCACCCCGCTGCATTCCGTGTCCGCTCGACGTCGCTAAATGCCCACTTGTACCACGAAAAGTCATCTGAGTTTTTAGAAATACGCGATACCATTATTTTTTCATAATTATTCAAAAGTAACTTGAGTTTCATGGTCCTATTTTTTTTTTAAAGTTGATAACCTTACATCTAGATCTCAACTTGTACTGGTGGAGATTAGACGTGTTTACTAAATATTAGGTTTTTATGATGCATCAGAGACCCAATGCCGGTTTTTTTTCAGGTCTCATCAGGATGAATTAGACTTTTTTGTTGTGCGATAGTTTTCAAATTATTGTCTTGTTAGGTTCTGATTTATGACCGGAGATACACTTTTAGCGTTTTATTTTCGGTATTAAACATCTTAGGCAATAGATAAAATATAAATTCTATTGTCGAATTTAAACTTTTGAATTTACCAAGTTACATTTTAGAGGTTGTAATTTATCAAATTTATCATCGTATAATTTTATTAAAGTCGCCGACTAAATTCCAAAATAAAGTCAGGTCATTATTTAAACGCGAGGAATTATTTGTTTTTTATATATTCAGAACAGCCTTTTAATTTTTACACTGTTGTAATATTTTTGGTAGTTAGTAACTCTAGTACTATGGCTAATATTTAATAGATTTTACAGTTTTTGTTTCAACACAAATTTTAGGGCGTAATTTTAGTTAAAAGTTAATTTTATCAACATTTTTGTGGTAATTTAACGCACGCTAACCTTTGAAAATAATTATAGTAAATTGTGTTAAATAATTGACAATAATTTTGTGTCTTGGATAATAGATTTATCGTGTGATTTATACGAAGCTTTAAAAAATTTTTTCGTCGATTAAAATCATGAAATTTTAAAAGACCAACAAAATTAAAAATCGTCCAGTTGTATTACAAACCCGACCATTGTTCTTACTATGGAAATTAATTGAATAATTTATTTTAAAAAGGTATAATCATAGAATATTCATTACACAAGCTAATATCAATATCATTATTATTATCGTTCGAGATTGAGTATAGTAAAAAATAATAAATAATACTTTTATTTCATTTATTGTTTATTAATTTTTGTGGTCAAACATATGGAGAAACTGGGGTGCATTACTTTTAAATGCATTAACCGAGTAGGGACCGTAAATACATAAAAGTATGAGAACAAGACAATGAACAATGGAATGCCGCGACATGAATTATACAGTTATTTATTTATCAACTTTAAATCAGTGTATTATTTAAGTCAAGAAAATAAATCTGAGGGAGTAGGGACTTAACTTAATAACTCGTATAAGGAGTTCTTTCATTCATTTTCTAAAACGCTTTTTCCCCGTGCATGCAATATGCTAAATATGTATATATGTATGCAAGTAATGTTATACGAATCTAATGGACACTCGAACAAATTCGGGCCGTTTTGCCCACGGTTTCTCTATCCCAATGAATTATTGCGACGTGGGCTTCAGCATGAGAACAATTTGACAAAAGAGAAACGGCATGTGAGCAAACCTATAAATTAACAGTGTTATTTGCCTGAGAAACAGTTTGTTTTATTTATACTGCCAATTGTTTGATATTCAAATCAATAACGTTTTAAATATTTTCTTTTTTTTTTTCCTTTCTAAAAATATAAAAATTGCCATTATTATTATTTGATTTTGTAAAATAAAGTTTGCTAAAAAATTTGACGTTTAAAATTTTAAAGATTTTTATAAAAAATTTTAGGAAATTTTTATTTAAAAAAAAAGAATGATAAATTTAAAATAAATTGTCAGTATTATTATTATTATTATTATTATTTATTTGATTCTTTAAAAAATTTGAAAAATAATTATTAAAAATTTTAATTTTATAAGAATAATAAAATAAGAAAATTAATATCTTGTATTAAATATTAGTTTGCTGTTCACTTAATAATTTCTAATAGATAAAAAAATAACCAAGTGATGTTCACAAAATTAAAAAAAAATAAATTTCAAAAGATATAATATATCATTAAACAACTTTCCATCTTGAAGTAATAAATTTTCCATGACAATTGTGGAAAATATGGTACAAATATCAATTTTTAAAACCATAATAAAAAAAAGACATTAATTTTTTAATAATAATAATCAAAAGAGAATTGACGTTCCCACGTCGGGCGACCTCAAACTGGTCATCGGATCCCGTCGGCCATGGAGGAAGGAAGTGGTCGCGAAGATCACTTTACAGAGACTAAACCCCATCGTCCTAGTTTTTATTATTTATTTTTAACCCATCAATAAATTTATTATCTTTTATTTACATTCCTGGTGATTCTAATTTCCGAGACTAGAATCAAAAACAAATTTTTAAGCTTTTATGTCTTCTCGTGGGTAAGGAGACGCTCGATCGTGAAACACAATCTCCTAGCAGTGCAGGAAAAAGAATAAGAAGAAGAAGAAGAAGAAGGTCAAAACGAGAACTTAAGAAGGTATACAATGAGATTAAAAATAATAAAAGGTTAGCCATGAGCCATGACGTTACTCAGCGCCTTTGACCTTACGATTATCGGTCTCAAGCACACTCTGCCGCTGGAACCCTTGCATATTTAAAGAGACTCCACGCAGGCGCTGTTTTATCCCCGAGGCAGCCTAAGCCTAAGCGCCCCCTAATCTTTGATTAAAAAAATTCACAAACAATTTTTTATGCAAAGCTGTACTAGAAATGTTATAAAACTGTTTTTCTTTTTTATTTATTTTTTTTAGCCATGACCTTAACGGGAAACTGGGCCCATAACCTGCTCTGAGCAGATGACCAGCGACACCTACAAGAGCGCCCGAACTGAAAAGATGAGAGGGAATAAAAAGAAGAGATAATTAAAATGGCAGACCCGGGAGATAAAAAATAACCCGAGTTAGGTTAGTTTAGTTGGTATAACACGGTGTAAAACCGTTTTCGCCCTAAAAACATCCATCCCCATCCCCCTGGAGCTGGAGGACCTTAATTAGCGGCGGCGCGGACGCGGAGATTCTTCCATGTAGACAAAGGAACAGTATATTGCCACTCGTTTTAATATACCTGATTCATTTGTTGTTTATGTTTATTTTCATTCCCATTTTTTGGGCACTTTTTTGCTCATCCGAAATATCATTAGCCCGACTTTGTTTTCATTTGTCATAATAGCGGCCAATTAAATAAATTTACGGTGGTATTTCGAACTTTTTTAAATATTTACTTTTATTATTATTGAGGAGTTTTATTACCGAGGAATAAATAGTCTTTTTATTGTTAAATCTTTAATCTTTCCCCGGTTCGCTGGTTCAGACACTTCATTAAATGTTAAGCTAAGTATATGACATACATAAAGCATGTGTTTATTCAAGATGGCTTCATTCATATTCTGCTTCAATAGTTTTTAATTATTTAAAATAACGGATACTATTTTCTTTATCGAGAATTTTAGGGCTTCTATTTAGAAATTTTTAATTAAAATAAAAAAAAAAATTTTTTTTAATTAAAAATTATAACACTAAAAAAATTTAAAGTAAAGAAATAAACACTTCGCGCACGGAGTAAATTTGGAGTTTTTTTTTAGCGATTTTAATCCGAGTACAGAGTTTGTAGAATAAAATGAATTTTTATCTAGCTGGAATAAGTTTTACATGCGAAATTACTAACAAATGTTTGAAACGATGCTTACAATAAAATAAATTATTAGCATGATTATGTTTAATGAAATAAAATGAATAAATTTAATGTTACTTAAATAAACTTTTATGATTTCATAACAAATAAATTATTATAGAGAGAGAATTTATAAAAAAATGCATTTTGTAAAAATGAAAAAAAAATTTAATGCAATTTTTTTTTTAAACATTAAAATTTATTTGTTTTATTAAACTTACGAAAAATAGTGTATTAATTGTTTAAATTTTTAAACATGAATTTTGTAATTTTTAAATGAATAACTATTTTTTTTATTTTTATTCAATGCAAAATATTCATTTAAATAAAATCCTTCTTGGATTGAATTTCAATTTTTTTATCATCAAATCAATTTATTAATGACAAAGTAAAAGTTTGAGTAATGATTAATGTCACAATACCTCCATAGTATAAAAAAGTGCATGAACAGTTATATACTAGACGCAAAGAACAAAATTGGGGAATAAAAACCGCAAACATGATCACTTATACATACATGTATAAATAAAAATATAAAAATGTTCAAGAAAAAAGAAATGAAGCCACTCATCTTTCCAAGGACTATAAAGCATCGGGTTCTCGCCTGACGACTGCTTAAATGACGTCAGTATCTCCTTTGTCTTAAGGGACCTGATCGATGCCCCATCGATGACATTTATTATTTTTCATATCTTTTTGTTTTCATAACACGGGACATCCAATACTGGATACTCTGATACAGAGAAAAGGTCAATATTAATATCATTATATATGTATGTATATATGATAAATAATATAAGAAGGGACGATGTTAGTAAGGTATATTGGTATAGATTAATAATAATATATAATATATGTATAACCGAGTAGCCAGCTAAGCGAAATAGAAAGATGGATTATTATTGATGGATTATGATGGTGTCGATTGGTGTCATGATTCTAGTTATAAATTTATTCGGGCGGTATAATATATCGGGACAATCTTTAAATCCTGTCTAGAGTGTATAGTACCATACACTCGTCACGATTCACCGTTTGATATATATACATATATATTTTTTATTCTTTTCAGTTAAATTCACTTATAAAGGCTTGATCTCTTTTTTTATTTTCTATTGACGGGATTGTGACACATTGATGTTTGAACCCGGTATCACGTGTTGCCACGTGCGACTATCGAGTTTCTTCATGATTCAATCTGCAATTCAATAGTTATTATTTTCAACTTATATGCATTCATTTTTATTCAGTCATTTATTATTATTTTATTCAGAAAGTTACTTTCTTCTTCTTCTTTTTTTTTTTTTTTTTTTTTTTTTTTTTTTTGTTAAAAAGTACCATTTCTTTATTTAAGATTTGAAGCATAAAAAATTTAATAATAATAACAATAATTTTTTTTTAATT